ACCACTTCCAAAACACCTTGCCTTGAAAACTGCAGGGACTCGTCCAGGCAGTCGCCGCAGAGTCGGTAACGATTGAGTGTGGATAATAAAAAAAAAACATTCCGTACAAGATATGAATTGATCTGGAAGCTTTAGAAAAATACTTTTGTGAGATGGGTGACCATATAAATTGAATAAAATAAATATGTAAATAAGCTCTCAATTTTGATCCTAATTTATTTGCACTTGTTATTTATACCTTACACCTTAAGTGTCTCTACTTACGTATGTAGTATCTTGCTTTATGCTAAACCAAAACAGCCAATATGTAATTTTATGAAATCATTTAAATTCCAATCTAAATTACTTTTTAGCTTTGTATATACTGGATGCATTTTATCAGTAGAAAAAGCATGTTATCTTATTTTTCAGGTCAACCTTGGAAATCCAGAGGAAGAACAGGAAGATGAAGATGTGGAACTAACACTATGGTCTTCTGAAGTCCAAGTCATTGTCCTTGTTAAAGATACAAAAATAGGTTTAGGATTCAGCATCTTAGACTACCAGGTATGCTTACATCCTTGATAAACAAATGCCTTCTATCCCAACTAAATTTACAAGTTAGAAACTAATGGTACGCTTGCAGTAGAATTGGGGGGTTAGGGCATTCCTTCTTCTTCCTGCACCCTCTGGCTCATTCTGTCTCTAAAACTGTTCCAACAGTCTCAACTCTCCAGAGCTGACTTTAGTGGCTATGGTGGGATGGATAGAAAAGGAGGAAATCCCTTTATAGAAGTGCATTTTTGTTTGCATGACACTGGTCTGTGTTCATTATGTTTTGGCAGAATTCCTTAATTTTTATTTATTTGTTGGATACCTAAACAAATCTTCACGATACATGTCACTTGCAAGGGTTACATGTTGCTGACATAATCTTTGTATATTATCAAACAGCAGAAGTGTAAGACTGGGTTAAAAGCTCCTCAGGCTTTGTCCTTAATTTTAAAATGTTGGTTTCATGTGCATATAGTACATATGTGGAACTGTTTTAAAATTAAACAATATTTGTTTAATATTAGTTTTGCAGAACAGTGAAATGTTTTTGAAAAACCAGAAAGAATATTGGCTTACTAAGTTCATAAGCCCTTCATTTTATAAACATTCATGCCAAGAATATGATGTTTGAACAAGGTGAGCTCAAGCTTTTAATACAGAAAGGAAAATTTAGTATGATTTAGTAGTTATAACAAAGACTGTAAAAGTATGGACAGGTAGCCCAGAAGTGTAGCACTGGTGTCAGAAAAACAAAAGCTGAGAATAAGCAGAAGTTAAAGAATGAGGCTAAGAACAATGCTAAAGAAAATCAAAAGGGCTTCTTTTAAACATGTCAAAAATAAAAATAAAGAAAAAGAATCAATATAGTAGATGCTGAAATGCTAACAGAAAAGGCAGGGCGATCTGTCTTTTATTTTATTTATTTATTTATCGAATTTGTCACCGCCCATCTCATTAAACAATTCTGGGCAGTTTACAAAACAATTAAAATCAATTAAAATTACAATATTACAATAATAAATACAAAATAAAAAGATCCAAAATAATTGGTGATCACTCAGAGCGTCATTGAGGCGCTAGCCACCCCCAGGATTGGGTAGAGTTGTTATCCCCCCCATGCAAGCTGGCAGAGCCAGGTCTTCAATTTTTTCTGGAAGGTCAGTAGGGTAGACTTCTAAATTTTGATTTAGACTTCTGGAATAAAAAAGTTTGTATTCCAGCAAGAAGTTGTGAAGAATAGGATGAAAGGGCAGAATTGAAGCTTGAGACCCATAGAAACATGGTCAGGGAATACGTCATTTCTTTGAATGAGTTCAACTCTCCAGGACCAGATGAATTGAATCCTAGGGTACCACCTGATAGGTCTGACTCAACTGTTGAGAAATCTTAGGATGCCAAATAACTAGAAGAGAGCAAATACTGTCTCTGTCTTCAAAAAGGGTTAAAAGACAATCCAGCAAACTATAGACCAGTTGGTCTGATATTAATACTGGAGACATTTCTAGAGTAGATCATAAAGAGAACTATGTAAGAAGCTGGAAAAACAACATAGTAATTACTGGAATATATCAAGAACAAATCTTGTCAGACTAACCTAATCTCATTTTTTGATTGGGTAGCTATTTTAATAGATTGTGGGAGTGCTAAATACACAATATATTTTGACTTAGCAAAGCATTTGACAACATATGTCATAATAATACCAATTACCTAGAGGTGGTGTATTCCCCTTTATTGGATGTGATTAGACGGTCATCTGTCTTCGGTGCTTTAATTTGGATTCCTATACTAAGCAGGAGAGTGGACTTAATGGTCTAATTGGTCTTTCTGGGGTTATGATTCTCAGATTTTATATTACAATTCTGAATTTTTTTTTTCTCATGAAACTTACAACTTGCATTGCTAGAACTGAATTCCAGAAGAAATCCTATTTCTATCAAATTTCAGACTGAAATTGGGGGAGGAAAGAAAACATTATTAATGCAGTAAACCATTATGCCTTTTCTTTTTTTAACAATGGAAGAATTTGCACAGTAAATAAATGTAGATATGTTGAATTGCCCCAGATCTTCTATTGTTTATGTATAGGTTCTTTATGTAGGCTTTTGGCCTACAAAATCAGCCTTTGTTTGCTAAAATGAGAGTAGTACCTATGTAAGTGTACAGAGAGCTGATAGAAGAAATATAGAACAACTATCATAACCTCTTCCCCAGCACTCAATATCACTTGTGTAGAAGAAAAGTCCACGAGGAGTATACTATTTATATCAATTTCAAGACAGCAGGGCTTCAAGGCACTGTATAATAAAGTATTAAAGCAGTAAAGTTTAATCAAAGTATAGTAAACCCTCAGTTTAATGGACCATGGTTTAGTGGATTTTAGATACAGCACATTTTCATTTGAGCAGAAGGCTAGTCTGTTAAACTGAGATTTTTGCAAATCACATCATTTACATCAGTTACATAATTGACAAATGATATAAACTGATGAAAATGATGTAAATTCAGATTTAACAGATACTTGGATTTGATGGATATCCCTTCCCCCAAAATGATCAGTGAAATCAAGTATTTTCTGCAATAGAAAACTTAAAGTAAGTTTTTCATCAGTACATTAGTCATTTAATGCTTATCAAACAACCAAAATTATTTCTATCTGCTGAAATGCAAGGATGAGGTAATTTAATCTTTCAAGGAAGGGGCTCCATGTTCAAGGTGGTGTTATCAAAGAAACCCTGACATGTTGTCTTCCAATAATGGGGTAGAAAACAGGTCCCCAGTTCTAAAAGTTCTAAATTGCAAAATTATATAAAAGCACATGGTGTTTCTAAGTCTGAAATTGTAAATCTGTATTAACAAGAATCTGTCCAATAACGATGCAAGATTCAGAATAAGCTTTTCTGTTCGGTGGCTAGACCGGTCTTGTGACCTCTTTTGCAGTATCCTTTTAAAAAATCATAATAATGTTGTCCAGTCCTTTTAACCAATGCCATTTGTTTTGCCTTGTTTGTGGCACTAATTATTTGAGTTTCTCAAGAGTTGAGACTGGACTTCTGAGCAGTTAGAAGGAAAAAGACCTTATATGACAGTTTTATACTCTGCACTATGACGCCTTAAATTAATGTGAATTCTTTAGAAAGCTATTCCATCCTGAAACTAAACTTACATCAAATTTGAATGATGAATGGATATCTTAAGCATCTTGTGTGACCAAGAAACAGAACCCAGGATGGGGCTGTACAGATAAAGGCAAGGGGAAGGAGCAAATGTTGCCGTCCTTGAATGTTCTCTCCAAATTCACACCTTAATTTTCAGCTCTATAAACGAACAGCTGTTTACTTTCACAGAAAAAGTAAAGCAGCAGTGTAAGGCAAAACATACTTTCCAATCTGGTATGCTCCGTCTGGAATTTTTGTAGAGTAACATCCCTTTCTTCCTCTCTCTCCTGCTGCTTCATTTTTCTCTGGCTTCAACATATGGGCAATTTTCAGACCGTTTCTAGTATATTATGTATTCAACACTGTGATGGTTCAGTGAGCAAACAGTAAAAATAGTCTTGGTTATACAAAGTATTGGAAAGTTTATTTTTCCTGTTGCATAGATGACCTGATTTATGACAGGTCATAAAAGCTTCCTTTGCTGGCTTGAAGGGGCCTAGGGCCTGGTGGAGCATAATTAGAAGAAGGATGGAAGAGAAAACAAAGCCATTGCAGAACAAAAGAGCAACAGAAATCTCTGAAGCTAAGAGGTAGTGGGGAATGAGGTTTTCTAGAGAAATAAAATGGAAGCTTGACATGAATCAGCGAAAATATAATTTCAGGAAGGAGCTGATTAATTGCCCAGGAGGAAAGTAAAGATTGCAGATTCCTAGGTGTTCGTGTTCTAAGGAAAATGCAGAGAAATGTATTGATTTGTATTATAGGACAATTGGAATGGGACAACTTATATCTTACTTGCTGGCTAAGGTGCATAGGAAGTTGGACTGAACCCCTTTCAGAGCAATAAGGAGGGTGGGGATATGAGAGGGGGCCACTGTGCTGAAAAACAAGTGTTGAGAATTTATCCTGAAAGATATCTGCAGAGAGTGAAAGGAGGAGTAACCACCAACTCTGGATGGTAAAGTTTCCTTATCTCTTCCTGAAACAAAGTATAGACTCCAAACACAGCCTCCGAATAGAGGTCAAATATAATATGGGAGTTTGAAAAGATTATAAACTTTTTTAAAAAAAAGTTTTTAAATTTACATTAGAATAAATTGGGCCTTTCCTGGGATCTGGTTTGAATAAGAATGTGAAACCAGTACTATTCTGAGATGTCATTTCTTGCTG